GTGCTGGAGTATGGTAGTTGAATAATGCTACAATTTTCAACTTGCTCCTACATGACAGGTCAACCAATTGGTGCACTAAGCTTGAGCTTTTTTTTTTTTTTTTGCTTTTTTTTTTTTTTTTTTTTTCCCTCCCTTCTAGTCATAAGAAACCCCATTAAGAGCATGGATGAGTCGTACCAAACAAACAGGTATCAGTTCAAGAGAGGTAAGTGCCATGAAGGACTTTGGCACCATTTATTCAGCTAACTTGTGCCCTCAGACATTTTTGGACCTTGTCACAGATGTACCACTTCCATTTTACTATGAGATTATGCTGGATCTGCCTGCCTTAATGGATCTAAGAGTAATTTGCTCATGATTCAATCTTCTGGTCACACAGTTATGTTTACTAAATGGCTAGACAGGTTATGTTTACTAAAACCCAATATAACGGTGAAAGATACTACTCTGTTGTACCTTGTCTAGAGCAAAGGATCTGCATTAGAACTTTCCTATTAGGGCTCAAAATGGTAACTTTCTCTACTGTAGATATGTGTTCTGTCACGGGCTCTTTCAGGTCATATGGCCAAAAAAGCCAGCTGCTTAATCACATCTTGGACCTGCTGAGAGCTTTTTCTTGCCCTAGGACCTATTCAAAGCTAGCTTTATCAGAATTCCTGGTTTTAGAATATGATCCTCCCCAAAACCAAAAAAGCACATTAATCATTGTACATTTTTTCCTTTATGTTAGAAAATCCAAGTTGCAATAGCTTGTCTGTTAATTGGGGGTTGTCTGAGACTGCCCCATACCTCTGATTTCCTGAAACCTTTATCAATTTAGTCCTGGTCTAACCCCAGAACTTTTTATGTTCTACTGTTCTACTTTTCCTCTTGAACTTCATTTTGAACTGTTCAGTGCTACCTAATCCTTCAGATTTCAGTAAAATCAGCATTTCTTTAAGCAACCAACTTTTGACTAATCTTTCCCCTATTACAGAAGAAAGAGGTCGTAGAAATGAAAAATGAGCGCTGTACAGGATCTCAGAAAAGCATGCACTTTTCTTTACAGCACTTGTTATACTTGCAAACTTATATTTCTCTTTGTGGATGTTTCTTTGACCTACTCTATTATATTTTTATTTTAAGCTTTTTTTTCTTAATTGTTCAAATATACTTCAGATAATGGTTGGAGAGGAGGTATTATACAAACTTTGGGGAGAGGAAGAGTAAATAATTTTTGTTATACTAGTGTTTTTATAATTTCATATTACAATAAATATCTTTTTTCCTAACAAAGGCTCTTGACTCTAGACAGTTTTACCCTGGGCCAGTATGTTTAATGACAACAGAATTATTATTTTTTTAAAAAGTAATGCGAAAATTATGATTAAAGTTTTAAAAATCCGGATCTGTTATAGATAAACTATAGTAAAATGAAAAGAAAATTAAATTGCCTCAGGCAAAATTCTGGCAAACTACCTGACAGTTAAGCTCTTGATAACTGAGAGAATGGAAATTGGATTTCCTTTAAGCATTACCCAGGAGGAAGGGGCTCAGGAACAAAGCTGTCTGTAGGGGTTATGTTGCCATCATGTGGTCATAAGGAAGGAAACATTTTAAATAAAAACAGACATCTAGTATAGAAAACTATATGACATCAGTTTCAAAGATGCCATTTAAATGGAATATAAAACCTCATTTTTTAAATTAAGAAAACACTTCTCTGAAAATGTTATTAATTCATTTTATCCAAAACTTGACTCTCTGTTCTGGGACTTTTAGTATGGCCCTTTAACTTCTTGTTTCCTTGTCAGGAGGCAAAAATAACATTTTAAAAAAACAATTAAAATTATGATGCATGACAACTTTAATAAAGGGCAAATATTAGTAAAGCAAATAAAAGAGGAAGATAGAAATCATATTAAAAGAGAAAAATTAAAGTCTACCTCAGGCAATTTCCCCATAAAGCAAATGAAGCTTAAGCTTAGGGGCTCTTGGATTCCTGTTCTTAATTTTGTATTGGCAATTTTGATTCTTTTTCTTAAGAATGGCGTATTATTTGTTTTCACGCTGCACCCAAGTCACCTCTTAAATGCATTGCTGCTTAGAAATTTCTTCCACCAGAAACCCTAAATCATCTCTCAAGTTCAAAGTTCCACAAATCTCTAGGGCAGGGGCAAAATACAACCAGTCTCCTTGCTAAAGTATAACAAGAGTCACCTTCACTCCAGTTCCCAGCAAGTTCCTCATCTCTATCTGAGACCACCTCAGCTTGGATTTCATTGTCCATATCATTATCAGCATTTTGGTCAAAGCCATTCAACAGATCTCTAAGGAGTTCCAAACTTTCCCACATTTTTCTGTCTTCTTCTGAGCCCTCCAAACTGTTCCAACCTTGGCCTGTTATCCAGTTCCAAAGTTGCTTCCATATTTCGGGTATCTCTTCAGCAGCACCCCACTCTACTGGTATCAATTTACTGTATCAGTCCATTTTCACACTGCTGATAAAGACACAACTGAGACTGGTAAATTTAGAAAAGAAAGAAGTTTAATGGCCTTACAGTTCCACATGGATGGGGAAGACTCACAATCACGGACAACGGAGGAGCAAGTCATGTCTTACATAGATGGCAGCAGGCAAAGAAAGAGCTTGTGTAGGGAAACCCCCGTTTATAAAACCATCAGATCTCATGAGACTTATTTACTATCATGAGAACAGCACGGGAAAGACCCACCCCCATGATTCAACTACCTCCCACCAGGTTCTTCCCATGACACGTCTGAATTGTGGGAGCTACAATTCAAGATGAGATTTGGGTGATGACACAGTCAAACCATAGCAGATGGCCTCCCAAACTTTAATAGGCTTTATTTTTTAAAAAAAACTAAATGTGACCTGTTTCTTTATTACTGTTATCCTGTTTAAATGATAAATTGGACACATACAAGACCCGCTTCAGATGTTGGGATCAGAGAAAAACACAGTTCTTCAATTCAAGAAATCCATAGTTAACTGGGCTTTACAGTGCTTGACATTTAGATATTATAATTAACCTTTTTAAAAAGCTATATTACTCTTCAGAAACTCAGAACTCAGATGGAAATAAAAGGGGTTTCATAGAATATTGTGTGGAAAGGATTAGGAAATGTGATCGTTTGTAAACTTTGCCATAACCTCTATAACCTCCTTTATAAAATTCCCTATAAGGGTAGTAAAAAAAACTTACTACATTTTGCAAAAATAAGAAATGACAGCCTGAGTCACAAAGTTCATGCAGAATTAGACTGACTAACTTTTTTTTTTTTTTTTTTTAACCAGGCCAGAGAAGCCATATAGAAAGATAATTTAGCTGTATATGTAATTTTAAGTCCTTAGAAATTTCAAATTTGTGTAACAAGTTAAAGAAAAATATTCTGCCCTTTTAAAATTATGGCTTATCCAGCAAACCTCCTAATGTTGAAATCATAAATATCCAAACTTCTTCCATTTGATGGCCTTCTATAAGCTCCTAGCATTTTAATAGCTGAGTATATTTTTCTGTCCCCATATGCTTTCCTATGGGAAGGTTAATGCTTGCTCAAACTTCTGAAGATGTAGGCCATAGAATTTATTAATTAATTCTTGTTGCAAATCCCTGCTCTCAGATCTCAATTCTCGGCTTCTCTTACTATGTTTCTTCTTGTGACTTCTGAACTCTTCCATAGCAATTTATTCCCTAAGATGAATGCATTTACTTTCTCTTTTATGTACCAAAGCATCATACTCTCATGTGAAATTCTTTTACTAACCATTCGGGGCAAAAGGACAAAGGGATATAAAAAAATACAGAACAGAAACATCTTAATAACATATGTCAGCATTCTTAAAATCCCCCGCATGGCCCCAGAGTCATTAATTTCTGTTTTGTTTTGTTTTGTTTTGAGATGGAGTCTTGCTCTGTCGCCCAGGCTGGAGTACAGTGACATGATCTTGGCTTACTGCAGCCTCTGCCTCCATGGTTCAAGTGATTCTCCTGCCTCAGCCTCTTGAGTAGCTGGGATTACAGGTGTGCACCATGATGCCCAACTAATTTTTCTATTATTAGTAGAGACGGGCTTTCATTATGTTGCCCAGGCTGATCTCAAACTTCTGACCTCAGGTAATCCACTTGCCTTGGCCTCCTAAAATGTTAGGTTGACAGGTGTTAACCACCACATCTGGCCCCAGCACAGTTAATTTCTCGCTGCCCCTCTTTCCCCTATTAGACCAATCTGCTGCTGCATTGATGGGGGTGTATTTTCCCTATCTTGACATTTTTCCAAATTCTTCTTTATCCAGAGTCCTTGCTGATACAAATAGCTGATGAATAAAAAAAGTCCATACAAATTTTTTTATTCATCAGCTATTTGATAGTTGTCAAAATTCCTTTTTATGTAATAAAAATTTAATTATTTTAGTTCAAATTCTTCCTCTGAATTATACCCAAAGACTCGGCCTTCCCTTTGCCTTAACCTCATCAGAAAATCCTTGAAACATCTTCAAAGACTCCCAAGGTATTGTGGAGTCCAGTTTGAAAATCAAAGATTGAAAGATTTTCTGCATTGTGACATAAATAAAACATGTTTATTTTTATACATTGCAACCAACACCGTTCATTCTTTTAAGGCAATTCCCATATTATCTCTATTATTATCTTAATTCCTAGAAAATCCATGAGTAGCTATTAAATCATATTGCAAATTTTACTTAAACATTATTTGAGTTAAACTGAATCTGCTCATAATACTCAGGATTAGTAATCAGTAAGTTATGGTTGACTTAATCTGTTTTTTTAATTGGAGTGATATTTACACAAGTGTACAATTTTTTAATGTTCGTCAGACGGGAAAATTAAAATGCGAATATTTTATTTTCCCTCAATATTATTTTACTTCAATAAAGTTCATTTAAAAACAAAATAATTAAAATATGAGAAATGGATAAGACATTAGTAAACAGGTTGCAGAATTAAAAACTACAAAAAATATTTCTAAGAATTAAAACATAATATTATTTAATGTAAGAAATCATTTGCAAAACAAACCCCCAAAAGTATGGTAGTTCAAACAATAGACATTTATAACATAACAATACAATGCCAGGTCAGTTGAGGGATGGCACTTGATATGCGATGGGGGTGTCATGTGTCCATACCATTATTTAGAGAAATGCTTAGGGATGCATTGTTTCTTCAGCATTCTGTTTCCAAAGTTGCCCTGGGAAGTGCCATACATGGGAGAGTCTTCTAGGCCACACCTGTAATGCTGTTTACAAGACACACTTAAAAGAAATGCACAGAGAGGAAAGTCAAAAGTCACAGAACAAAAGTGTGTGTGTGTGTGTGTGTGTGTGTGTGGGGCATGATTTTGAAACAAAACAATGATCATATAGCTATTTTAACATCATACAATAAAGAAAAGCAAAAGCCAGACAAGCAAAACAAACATCAAAACAAAACAAAAGAAAAACTAGTAAAACACAAAAAATATCTATAAGAAAAACAAATTAGGGACCTTAAGGATACTAATGGGTGCTACACATATTAGTTAGGAATTATGTTTGATGAGGAGGAAACCAACAAGAAAGTGGCTCAAACATATAAGATGCCTAATTCTTCTCAATGGGAACCTCAGAAGAGGTAAGAAGTGCGGAGATGACGCAGCATCATAAAGCCATCTGGGCTCCAGGCTCCTACTATTTTCTATTCAGTCATCCTTATTTTGGTCACTTACTGGTTCCTGGATAGCGCTCTACCCCGGTCTTATGTCCCCATTCTGGGCATAAGAAGACAAAGAAGAAAGGGTACATCTGAAAAGAATCTGCCCCCCTTTTTTTTTGAAATATCTCAGGTGACTCACCAAACATCTGCTTTTAAAACATTAGCCAGAAAAGTGTCACACAGACACTACTATCTTCAAAGTGTTGCTGGGAATTAAAGATCTTGTGGAGCATTTTTCTGACCCATCGAAAATTCAGGGTTATTCAGTTTTATATTTCTTGTTTAGCTAATTTCTACAAATTGTTTTTCTGGGAAATTGCTGTGTTACTCAGTTTTCAAACTTAGTGGCATAAAAATTCATATTATTTTACTGCTTTTCAAATGTCTGTTGTGGTAGAATCATTTCTCTTTCTTCATTCCTAATTTTGGTTATTTGTGCCTTCTCTTTTTTTTTTCCTTTGGATGATCTTGCCAGTAGTCTACCTATTTTAATTGTCTTTTAAAATAATTAATGCTAGAAATATATTCTTCACACTTAGCAATTCAACATAAGAAAAATATTAAAAATTAAAGTCACATTTGCTGCCTCCCTTCCCCAACTTCAACTTATTATTAACTTAGTACTAATTATAATTTTAATGATGAATATGTTACAGTGGGTAGCTAGTCAGTCGTGGACAGGGCAGGAAAGGGCTCCCCTTTCCACCAGGAATCTCAGGCAACCATCAGGTGATGGTCAGGCAGTTGTTACACTGTTTCTCTAAATTAATAATTGGTCACAGCCAACACCAGGGAAAGGCAGTCTCCCAGTCAATAGAAACACCTGAAACTGGTGATCGGCAGCTTCCCAATAAGATCTTAGGAGTTGAGAGTGGGCTAAAGCATGCTCACTAAGAGGCAAAATGGCGAATGACCTTTCTCTAGGAATACTGTACTAGTAAGGGAAAAACTCAAATGAGCACGTGTACAACTCTAGTAAACACACCGCGCATGCGGTTTCTCCCAAGCACTTGCAGGCCGCTGCCCCCGCAAGGGAACAATCAGGAGAGAAGAAGTGCAAGACCCTGGAAATATGCTAACATACAAAATCCTAAGTCCGAGTTCAAACGGTGCACCATACACATGATCTCTCACGTCACCCGCTTGGCCCTCTTCCAAGTGTACTTTATTTCCTTTCATTCCTGTTCTAAAGCTTTTTAATTAACTTACTCCTTCTCTCAAGCTTGCCTGGGTCTCTCCTGCCTTATGCCCGTCAGTCAAATTCTTTCTTATGAGGAAGCAGGAATTGAGCTTGCTGCAGATACATATGGATTTGCTGCTGCTAACATGCATACTATTGGTAACTGCTAATACATTAGTGCTTAATATTCACTGTGAAATTTTAAGTAAAAGGTAAGTATATAATTCATAAAGATTTTTAAAAGTGAGGCTCAATAGCTATTGTGAAAAATATGTAAATTTTTAGCACTCTATATAAGCTATTCTCCTCCAACTGCTTATTTTTTCCTTATTGTTAATGTGTATACACACACATGCACACATATATATATATATATTTTTTTGAGATGAAGTCTTGCTCTGTTGCCCAGGCTGGAGTGCAGTGGTGCCATCTCAGCTCACTACAGGCTCCGCCTCCTGGGTTCATGCCATTGTCCCGCCTCAGCCTCCCGAATAGCTGGGACTACAGGCGCCCACCACCCCGCCTGGCTAATTTTTTGTATTTTTAGTAGAGACGGGGTTTCACCGTGTTAGCCAGGGTGGTCTCAATCTCCTGACCTCGTGATCTGCCCGCCTTGGCCTCCCAAAGTGCTGGGATTATATAGGAGCTGGACTGTTAAAGCAATCAGAGGATGAAAGTTAAAGAATCAAAAAGCAAGGCCTTGGGTTTGTTACTGTAGTAGGAACATTGGGAGAAAAATGACAACATGCATTGGTTTTGAGCTGTAAAGCTATTAACTACAACCGATGTTATGTCTGGATGTTCCTTTACCTTAAAAAACATTAATGAATTGAATCCTAAAGTCCATTTCCAAATGCATTTCAAATACATGTTATTTACTTTCAGTGGTTGGAGTTGTAACACAAATTCATTCAATTTTGCTGAGTTTCATAATAAAGTATGTTATCTGTTCCATAAACCTTAGAAAATAGATCTGATTACCCAAGAGCAGCATTAACTAGATAAAAATTGTGTGTGTGTGTGTGTGTGAGAGAGAGAGAGAGAGAGATTTGTGAAGTGTGTCATAATACATTGCCCTGTTTTTCTGCCTCTTCTGGTTTCAGAAATCATGGTTTATAATAAAAAGCTGAGATACAAGGAGAGAGGATGGATGGATGGATGGATAGTTAGATTGATAGAAAGAAAGAAAGAAAGAAAGAAAGAAAGAAAGAAAGAAAGAAAGAAAGAAAGAAAGAAAGAAAGAAAGAAAGAGAGAGAGAAAGAAAAAGAAAGAAAGAGAGAGAGAGAAAGAAAGAAAGAAAGAAGGAGAGAAGGAGAGAGAGAAAGAGAGAAAGAAAGGAAGAAAAGAAGAAAGGAAGAAAGGAAGAAAGACACATCAAGTCTTGTAGAATGCAGAAACTACAAAATGATATTCAGATATAGAAAGAAAATTATATTTATAGCAGCTGCATTCATAATGGCACCAAAACAGCTGTATTCATAATGGCCCCCAAACAGCTGTATTCATAATGGCCCCAAGCTGAAAATAACTCCAAATCCATAATACAAGTGCATAATACAAAGTGACACATTTCTCTAGGCAGAAAATATTAAATTTCTATGCTGCTCTCTACCAAGTCCATGGCCAAAACCAACCAACCAACCAAACATAACCATGCAGAAACCTTCCCCCCTTGTTTTAGTGCTCAGAGCATCTAAGAAGGAGTGTAGTGAAAAGCACTGGGTTATCCACGGAGACATCCAATTTTCTTTTTCCATTTCATTCTTCCACAAATGAGACTTTAGGTCTTATCTTAAGAGTGGAGTGATGCCTCCCGTGGCAACACTCTTCAGTACTTAAAAAAATACTACCACTTGAATTGAACATAATAGGTTTTATACCTCAGACTCTCTGGGTGTGTGAGTGAGTGGGAAAGAATCTTTGCTTTTCTAAGTAAGAGTTATCTCTTGTTGGCCTATAGAAATCTTACAGATAATAGAAAGTGTCAACAGAAATGTCACTTAAAGCCAGAGCTCTTAAAATGCGAACCATTCTGTAAATGGTTTCAGACACTTGGTTATGACCTGTTATGCATCGGTGCTATGGACAAATGCCCTCTCTTTATAAAAGTGTTCTAACCAACCCATTTTCTTCCTGTAGGTACTCCCTATTTTACATTCAATTTGTAATGCCATTCTCAGATGATCTACATTAAACTGAGCCAGATAATAACTGCTCACCTGGAACAAATGCTACTATAAGTTTTCCTTTAATGGTTCTCTCTGATTTCCTTATAGTAGCAAGCTCAAAAGTTTCTATGAAATTCTTAAAGAGAATCCAATGATAAAATAGGCTTGAAAAATGATCTGTTAGCTTGCTCTCTCTTTAATATAACATACTAAAATATCTGAGTAGTACAAGAAGTGGAGCAAGATATGGTTAAATACATTATTCCAAACTTATTTAACTAAAGATTCTCCCCTTCACTGAACATCCCAAATTAAAGATATTAACATCATATAGTACTGATTTTTTTGTAACCATGCTATGAAAAATAATTTTATACTGCTGTGAAAATTTGTTTTATACATACATTGAAAAGCTCCAACTTGGTTTTAGAAATTACTTTTGATTTTTTTTATCTGCTTTGATACTATACTGTGATAAAAGGTTAATGGAAATTAAAAACACACTGCATGATGGTTCTGTTCATTGTGTACATTCATTGAAGATGTAAAAACAAGGATCAGGACAAAACTCTGTAGAGTAACATGTGAATGGTGCCATTTGGAATTGAGAAACATGGAACCCACATAATGACAAAATTAAAAAGCAGAAAGTAGCTGAAACACCACAATTGATCTATCATTTACCAGAATGGCTCAGTTCTTTGTTTAGTATGTTCTTTCTGCATGCAGTATAAGTGTTGTAAAGTAAGTATGCAAGAGGAATAATTGTTATAGTTTAATTTGTAATATGTTGAGAAAAAATGCTTAAGATTGGATTACTTGGAGTTACTGGTGGGAATGCAAAATAGTACAGCCACTCTGAGAAAGAGTTTGATAGTTTTTTAAAAATTAAAAAAAAAAAATTATCATTAGATTTAGCAATCTCACTCCTATGTATTAACCCTGGAGAAAGAAAACTGTATTTATGCAAAATACATATGTTTATATCAACTGTACTCATAATGGCCCCAAACTAAAAATAACCCCTAAATTCTTCAACTGATGAATGAATAAACCACTATTACATCCATACAGTGGACTACAATTCATCAGAAAAAAATAATTATTGATACATGCAATAATTTGGATGGCTTTTGAATGCATTATGCTACATGAAAGTAACCCAAGTCAGTATGTTATGATAATTGTGAGAAATT